TACCATCACTATTGAAAATGGTATTATAGCTTAGGGTTATGTTCAGATGTCCATTATAACTCCCAGATTTCACATGCTCTTAACTTTCTGAAAAATTCTTCTTTTCAGCTGAAATTTTCCATGCTTGGTCTCAGCTCAAAGATTAATTTCTTTAGATAGTTCAGAGAAATCTGTTAACCTATTTTTCAGTTATACAACAATAGAAAAAATGCATTGTACATTATCACCATTTCTAATATTTTAGTATAGATATACAAATATACAGAACTAGAAAACAATTGAATTTTACATGCAGACACTTTTCCAGATGACTAGTCCTCACCCAAGACTAATATCCATGCTAACACATAAACCAAACTAAGCATACAAAAGAATGTATGTATTTTTTATTTATACTGAGAGATGAAACAAGGCCACTAAAAATAATACTGCACGCAGAATTGTGGAATGCTATGGTTACAGAATTTTAATATTTGCAGGTGACGTAAGCTCTGCACTGCTGTTCAATGCAGATTTCCATCAACTTATGCACCTTGAAATTGCCACTCTGGGCGTATCAAATTAAGAGTCATTAATGTTTTCAGCTTTTCTTTTCTCTTACATAAACTCCAAACTTACAAATTTAAACACTCCAGAGCAAGATAGCATCAACTAGATTTGGCACGTAAAGCTTAAGTGATGTGCATTGATCAGCAGGAGCTTGGTTACTTGTTCCTTGATCAGACAAGAAGTCCATTGGCTGAAAAAGGAATAAAGCAATCTTCACAGAGCTTATGTTTTCGAGTATAAGATTAAAAATATACTTTAGCATGGAATGTAGCTAATGTGTCATTCAAGCCCCAAATCCTTAATTCCTGCCGCCAGAGAACAGAAATACAAGGACAGTGTTAACATATATTCAACTTTCCTGAATCTTCTAGAACTGTGCATGTTTCCAAAATTTTTAAATTATTTTGATTCAGAAAAGTGCTTACAGTGTGCTTATGACTTTTTCTTGAAGACAACATCTCAAGTCACTTGGACTTTAGGGATCTGCTTCAGTTTTACCACGTTAAATGAAAGTTAAGCACATGCTTAAATGCATTTTGATTAGGAATGAAGACTGAAGGTTTTGCCCATAACCTATACTGATACATATTTTTAAACCTGTGTTATTTGTCACTGCTGTGCTTTAAATCTGATTAAATGAAGTTGTTATAATTTAAAATTGGGATAACCACAGTAAATTTGCCTTAATTTCTTTTATTATTTAAACTATTGTTAATCTAATGACATTGAGTAGGAGTTTTTGTCTGTTTATTTGCTTTTCAAAAGAGGTCTTTCACATAGAAGAATACAACATGTCGTCTTCTGCTGTATTTCTATGTAGCTGTTTGGTGTAATGACTTACTAATTTGAAGCGCATTTTAGAGTTCAATCAAATACTGAAAAGAACACTGATTGAGAAGCCTGCATAGATTTCAGTATTCGTTATGAGTCATAACACTGATTTTGGAAGCTTAGCTATATAAGCTGGTGGTGTGCAACATCATTTCTATACTCCTAATTATGTGAATTAGCATTTAGAACAATCCCAAGTTCAAGTATTCAAAAATGCTCTTTTCAGAGCATCCACCAGGTTTACTGCAAGATAGGCACTTGAAGGAGGCTTTGGTTTTCATACTGGGTACTTGTGAAACATCAGTCTGTACAATTCAAAGTCACATGTAATAACTTAACCACAGAATTTCCACTAAAATTATTGATGAATGCACAGAAATTTCCCACCAAAATAAAACCCAAAAAACCCCACAAAATCCTCCCTAAAACCTAAGAATCTTTTTATTGAACAATATATTTTATATTCTAAAAGCTTTTTGATTTAAGACCCAGTTCTAACAGATTTCTAGGGCCACATGCCCATCAAAAGTATCGGGATTTTGCTTGAATGAAGTCCAAGTGCTGACTTAGGTCTCAGCTCTTTGCTAATATTAATGTATCTGCAAGTCACACTGTGTGTGCGTTTACCTTGAACTAAACGAAACTGTAAGTAAAGGTGGAGAATGCTAGTATTTCTTAGACATACATTTATCCTATATTTCATCTTTCCCTATCCTAACATCATCCACAACAATTCCCATGTTCTTTACAAAACACACCAAGTTACTGAATATATATATACGTAACCTAACTCAACATTAGATGCAGAGAAATTAGTTATATTAAACCTGAAGAAAACAGTACAATGGCACAGAACTAAGTATCTCTTCCTAAAGGAATTTGTAAATTTTTTTTCTCAGATGCTGTGGCATTAGCACACACTACTGTTCAGTAAGATCTTTAAATCTGAATACTTTGCTTAAAGGCAAAGTATCTCTTCACAAATTTCTATCACAAATTTCAAAAGAAAGACCTATGATGGTGTATTTCACTCCTGTGCCAATGAGTAGTAGCTAAGAGGAATCTTAATTTTAGGAATTACAGACAGAAGAATAGGAAGATTGTTGATGATTACTACCATTGATGGTTATACTACTCCAGCCAAAATTGACAAGGAGGCATAAAAAGATTTCATCCTCTAACACTCATTGGGAGGAAAAAACCAAAAAGACACTATATTGTTCCCCACATAATAAAAATAGACAAACTCAGATTAGGTAACTGTCTACCTAAGAAAGAGCTGTATTTTCATTTACATATAATAATATAGCTTTTTTCAGGGAGCAACCCAAATCATGAGTATCTGCTCACTTGAAAAAGGACACACTAAGACCTCAGTGAAATTTGAATACAGTCCATATATAGCTATAGATATTATTAAATGGAGACCAGCATATTTAATGTAATGAGCACAAGTAACTCTGGAAATACCACCAGTTGTTTTTGTATGGGTGTGGGAATTTTTTTTTTCCCATCATGTTTAATTTGGCCATGCAGAGCTTACACATTTACACATTCTGTCAGGTAAAAAATTCTGGGTGTCCCAACTGTCTGTAGATACTACGGGGAGTTAAGTCTGAGTTTTCTGATAGAGTTTGGAAAGCTAATTTATGCCTAAATTAAAATAATCTCAGAATAGAAAAGGAATGTGTGGTTTGGGGGGATTACATTTTGTAACTAAAATTGAGGAGAAAACTTCAGATGAGTAAACACAGACTATGCAGAGCTCTTCTATAAATTTTTGGTTATTTTTTTGTTTTTTTGTTTTTTGTGTCTTTAACTTACACTGACAGTATGTGTACAGTGCTGTGAGATGGCTGGGGAGTAGACCCTTCTTTGAAGTCCCTTAGAGAGATTAGGGGTTTGTGAGATTCTTCTGTGGTGTTTTCAGTGTCTCATAAGGAGTTGTGTCAGAGCAGTTACTTTAGAAGAACTGCCTCCAAAGTGCTTGTTTTATTCTTAGCATCTTGTCAGTGTGACACCTTACAGACACGCAAAGTCAAGACACACTTCTGGGAACGGCACATTCATCTCAGATAAGGCTAACGCAAAAACGAGAGGATGACTTTGTCCTAAACTTGGCTACAGTCAAAATCGTTTTGCAAAGACAAGCCTAATTATGTCTCACTTGGTTCCCTAGGATCCATATCCCTGATAAATTCAGACAAATTGCCATCACTTGGAGGGTACTGCGCCCGCAAGGAACGCGGATGCGACTCCCGGCACCGACCGAGCGAGCCTCTGCGGCGGCGGAGCACCGAGAGAGCCGCCTGGCAAAGACGCAGGCCGAGCCAGTCACTAAGTGCAGGCTTCCCTGGCTGGAACGTCGGCCCGGCGCTCCCGGCGCTCCCGACCCTGCCGGCCCCCTCGGCCCCCTCAGCCTTCTCGTCCCCTTCAGCCCCCTCGGCCCCCTCGGCCCCCTCGGCCCCCTCAGCCTCCGCAGGGCTGGCGCGGGGCCAGCGCGCGCCGCGCGGTGCCTTGGCGCCATCTACGGGCCGCGCGCGCGCGCGCTCCCGCGGCGCCCGCCGACGAGCGCCCGTAAAATAAATTAAGACAGCACCGCATTTAAATCTTTATTAGCAAGGAATTATTAGACCTAAGGAAAAAAAACTAATGCTGGATTTGGTTGAAATATGAGTCTCTCAGCCTCCTAATCCCTCTTCATATGGCGTGTTTCACAGTTTAAAATGAGATATGTCAGATCACTTATGCATTACTAAGATGAGAAAATATTTACAATGGACTGACTTTTTTTCTTTTTCCTGCATAATTCAGATGTATTCAGAGAACGCATTCCTTTCAAACGTATGCTTTGGCAATTTTTTTAAATATGCAGCAAACTGTCTATGCGATACCAAACTTCATCTATTACAACAAAATCATGTTGAACTCAAACAAGAGGAAGACTTACGTATGGCTTAGTTATATCCAACTAATAAACCACGTGCTTCACTGATGAAGTAGCTCGGAAATTTGGTTGTCTTTGTTAGGGAAAAAGATTAACCCTTTTAGTAACACTAACTTAGCAAGGTTCCAAATCAGATTGAAACTGGAAAAGAAATTCAAGCCAACTCACTTTGAAATTTGAAACAATGTACATATCCCTTCAACCTTGAAACATTTCTGACTGAAATTTAGCATATATGGAAACAGCTCTTCAATAAGTTTTACAATTGGACAGTTAAATACTGGGGAGAAAAAAAAAAAGCATTTTTTTTTCAGTTTTGTTTTTGCATGTATGTGCACATGCACGGAGGCATAACATTCCTCTAACAATCAAAATTCTTCAAAACCCAAAATATCAGAGACATTTTGCAAACACATGGTTAAGCCCTGGGTAAATGATAAAGAGGCCAAGGTTTTTGTTTGTTTGTTCCTAGTTTTGGTGTTTGGTTTGGGTTTTGGTTTTGTTGTTTTTTTTTTTTGTTCCCCCCATAATGTTAACTAAATTAAATTAGAATGAAACCAAAAAAAAAAAAAAAAAAAACCACAACAAAATAAAACAACCCACAACACAGTGGCACTTTTAATACTGGTTGATCGGGCACTTGTATGCAGTACTTATAGACCAGTAAAAGTGCTCGTTTACCTGTCTGGTGTGTAAGGGGCCCTTTGTCTTGAAGCCTCCTTGGGAACTGCACTCTGAGGCACTGAAGTGATCTGAACTAGTGGAAGAGCGTTTGGAAAGGGTGTCACAACCACCAACAAAGGTGTTGTCCAAAGGGAGTTCCTGAATCACATGGTGCTTTTTCACTGAAACTGGAGTGTCAGGTTTGAGATGAAAAGCAGACTGCGGAGAGGCAGATTTGTAATGCTTGGCAAGATCAGGACTGTTAGGCTTAAAGGTTGATGGTGGTGCTGTGCCCCAATCAAATCTTCCTATACTTTGCTCCTCCAGCTCTGCTGGAAGGCTTATTGTCCCGTTGATAGGTTCATGAACTGCATCATCAGGTTTGGACTCCTCAATGGTCACAAAGTTCAAAAGGGAGCTCTTTGGAGATTTCCTTTTCTTCCTTTTCTTTTTCTTGTTTTGCTTGTTTTCCTGATTGGGAGACATCCACTCAGCACCTTGCTTGCTCCTCTGGGCAGCTTTGAATCTGGACGCATGTCGACAGCGAACAAGAACTGTGACAAATATCACCACTATGACAACCATGGCACCCGCCACAATAGCGATCATGATAGTGAGATAGTCCTCATTTTGGTAAGGTTGGCTACTGTCCCCTATGTTCCGATCCAAAGGTGTTTCCATAGTCCTGCGTATCAAGTCATAAATATAAGAGGCATTTCCAGCAGTATCATTTACATATAAAAAAACAAGCACAAGAGTATGCAGAGATTTGGGATAACCCAGATCACTTATGTTGACAACTAAGCGATGCAGCCCCACATCATTAGGAGTTGGTTTTTCTTCCAGAGTGATATTACCTGTCACTGGATCAATCCGAAACAAACCCTTGTTATTGCCACTTACAATCGTGTACTTCAGTTCAGCGTTCATGCCAGTGTCTATATCCACAGCAAAGACTTCGGCTACCACCGATCCTGGAATTGCTGAGAGTGGCACTAGCTTAAAAGAAGTATTAGAAGGTGGGTAGATGACAACAGGACTGTTGTCATTAACATCCATCACATTTATTGTTACTTTCGCTGTAGAAGAGCGAGGAGGATGCCCTCCATCCACTGCCTTAACATCAAAAGTGTAAGAGCTCTGCTGTTCTCGATCAAAAGAAACGTTGGACTTTATAACTCCAGAGTACGGATCCAGCACGAAGTTTTCATTGTCATTCAAGATGGATAGGGTCACTGCTTTATTTTCCCCAGCATCTGCATCTGTCACTGTGATCACCCCCACCGTGCTATACTTTGGTAAGTTCTCTGATACAAAAAACTGGAAATGATTATGAGTAAATTTGGGACTGTTGTCATTTTCGTCCAGCACAGTAACAATTACAGCTGCTTGACTCTGCAAAGGAGGGGTGCCATTGTCTCGGGCTGTAACAGTGAAAATGAAACGTTCCTGCTCTTCTCTGTCAAAAACTCTGGAGGCTGTCAAAACTCCTGTCTTTCGATCCAGATCGAAAAAGGAGGCATTAGGACCAAGCTGATAAACAATGTCTGCATTTTTCCCACTGTCTTCATCTGTGGCACTAATAGTTGTTAAGTATAGACCACGCCGGTTGTTTTCAGAAACTGACAGCTCAATTACAGGCTGGCTGAAAATTGGAGGGTTGTCATTTTCATCCTCCAGCTTAACTCTTACCAGGGCAGTCTGGTTCAAACTGGGCTTGCCAGAATCAGAAGCCACAATTTTAAAGCTGAATTCTTTGGTCCCCTCATAGTCCAACAAGGAAGAGGTCTCTAACAAATACTGGTTGTCGTAAACTGCTTTCAAGTGGAAGGGGACCTCTCTCTCAATGAAACAGATCACTTTGCCATTCACATCAGTGTCCTTATCTGAAACCGTAATTAGGGCAATCTTTGTATTGATGGGATCTTTCTCAGATAAGTACACTGTGCCATTGATGGGACTTATTATGTACCTGAGGTCTATGTTAGGAGGGTTATCATTTACATCAGTGACATTGATGGTGACAGTTGCCCGGGCTGGTGTAGAGCTACCATCACTAGCCAGCACTGTCACTTTGTGAATAGCAGTCTCTTCTCGATCTAAGGACCTCTGAACTGTAATCAGCCCTGTGGTGTTGTTTAAAGCAAAAAATCTTTTGGTTGCAGGGGCGACTTGGGCACCAAAAATATATCTGATTTCTGCATTGCTTCCTATATCAGCATCTGTAGCATGAAGCTGAATTACAGAGGTACCTACAGGGGCATTCTCTGGTATATGGACCTCTACTTGACTCTCTTTAAAGACTGGCCTGTTATCATTGACATCACTTACTGTGACTTGCAGGATAGCTGTGCTGGATTTCTGGGGGGTACCTCCATCCTCCACTTTGATTTTCATCACGTAGGTGTCCTTTTGCTCTCTGTCCAGGTTCTGCTGCACAATCAGCTGAGGCCATTTCTCCCCTTCCGGAGTTTCTACAATATCCAGTCCAAAGACACTCTGCCCGTTTAACAACTCATAGTGCTGCACACCATTGAAACCTGTGTCAGGATCTGTAGCTGATGGGATTGGAAAGCGACTGTTGATCAGAGTATTTTCTGGGATGGAGATATTGATGACAGGGGATGGAAACATAGGCGCATTGTCATTAGTGTCCTTTACAATGATTTTTATTTTGATCAGCCTAAAAAAGTCATTGGGAAGAATCACCACTTCAAGTTCAAAGAAACACTCGTTTTCTTCTGCATAGGAAGCTCCAGCACATAGTTTTTCTCTGTCTATTCTGTTAGATGTTGTAAAGATTTCCCCTGTGTTACTGGACACTTTGACCAGAGGTGCATCCCCTGCTTTAGACACCAGTCTGTAGACAAGGCTGGCACTGGTCCCTGTGGCAGCATTGATATGAGAAATGTTCAGGTCCTTCGGTATGTTCCCTATGGGCACGTTTTCAGGCAGCTCCTCTCTAATAGTGTAAATAAGTTCTTGAGCTATAGCAGAATCCAGCCTTAAACAGGCAATCAAAGCAGCCAACAGGTAAAAATCCCTCAGGTCCATGATAATGTTTTTATTCTCTTTTCACGGATTTTAGGACTTAAAGGTTTCCAGAGAGGAATGATGCGCGATTTGCAAGAGGAGGCATGCATGGACTGCAGGATGCATTACATCTCATTTCTTATTTGGAGACATCACTGTCAACACAACCACACAGAACAGCATTATTGTTTTTTTTAGGCATGATAAATCCACAATCTCCAACTACTACTTGTTTTTGCAATGCACGCTTCCAGCAGTACATTTTCCTACTGCTCCCTTTTACAAGCAAGCCCTCCGGACAAATGCACCAATATCCCATCGGCTGCCTTTGCTCAGAGCATGAATGAAAATAACTACTTGCAGGATTAAGGGTAACTACTGTTTTGATACGTACTTTCTGAATAATTTCTCAGTACACCGTGTAATCCGTAACGTGCATTCCCCCCTCTACCCTCCTCCACCCAGTCATTTGGTGCAAGTAAAAAACCTTCCCGGACTACTTCTGGATTCTAACTGCTATGTCAGCTGCCAAATGTAATTTGCTGTTTGCTTCCATACGTATTTTTTAGCTCTTGCTAACCAGATTTCTCTCTGCTCGCTGTGCCTTGCATGCCCCTCTATAGCTATCGTACTGGGAAATAACCACCCGGACATGCTGCTGCTGCAGCAGTCGTCACTGGCTACTTCACATCCCTGTTAACTGATGAGACAATAACAGGACTTACAGTTTCTTACACTCTCAGCTCAATGTTTCTTCTCCAGATGTTGGATACTTCTCCTTCTGTTTAATAACCTAAAACTTTATTTGTATTTTAAACACAGTCTAAATCAGGAGGCTGGAAATTCCAAATGTAACTTAGAAGCAGGAAGCATGTTTACAGATGGGGGGAATATACATTTTCTGATGACATGAGGAGGAAAAAAAGGTGCAGCCTTTTCCCAGTTGACACTGATCTCACTTCAGGATTATATTAGCAGCTGCCACATATAAATACTGCAGACTAATAATGCAGGTGGAAGGAAAAAAAAAAAAGAAAAGCGACTGACAGACTTCTGTTTGCATGCACTGCTAACCGCACATTATCGGGGTGCAAGGCTGCCAGCACCTACAGTTTGACGGAACTAGGCAGCCCTAAGCACTAATCTTATCTGCATTAAGCTGCACAGTAACTGATGCCTGTGATTACTTCCAGCAGAGTAATGCAGGTAGGGATGCAGAGACAGCGAGTAGGTGAGCTTTTTCCACCAACATCAACTGAATCCCAAACACTGATTCTTTCCCTAGATAAATATACTGCGTGTAGGCTTTTTTTTTTTTTTTTTTTTTTCTTTAAAGGAAATGCATCCCACTGTAAGGGTAACTTTGCACTTACGTTAGTTGTCTACCTTTGACGATCTGCTGCAGCTAAGCAATGATCTGTTCCAGCAGATACAGCACAATGCATCTGGTAAACCACCAGTTTTGGAGAAATCAGCAGCAGCCAAACGCTTCCTCCTCGAGATATGTGTTGCTTCGGGGTGGCAAATTAGCAACTCCAGGGAACAAATTCACAGTTCTGTCGTTAGTCATCCTCTCCACGTTTCATTCCTATGAAGCGGCGATCCTTTGGGTGCCTAACGTGCACGCAACAACCCAAACAAACAGCAAGAGAAAAATCCGGTGCACTTCTTAGAGCGGGGGTATTTTCCACTCTGCACTGCACACCATTCCCGTCCCTCTCTCGGCAGAGCAGAGGCAGCTACATGCAGTCTGCAACTTCTGACTGGAAATGGCAAGAGTTGGTCTGGCGGTGCTTCTCCCTCTTTAGCTCTGGGGTGACAGTTGCCCAAAAAAAAAAAATAAAAAAAAAAAAATTAAAAAAAAAAAATCCTAATAGGTTATTGCTTTAGTGACGGGAGGAAGCGGCGGCGCTTTCCCTCTTCCCTCCCTCCTTCCCTCCCTCCTTCCCTCCCTCCCAGCCTCTCTCCCTCACATTCGCTCTCTCCTTCTCCCTCTCTCTCTCTGAACTGAAATTCTTGATATAACTCTCAATAAGCCCAGAGGGAGGGTGGGAGCGGCGCGAGGCCACCCCTCCCGCCGCACCGCATTGGCCCGCGCCGGCGGGGGCGGTGGATGGCGGAGCGCGGCCGCGGCATTGGCCGCCGGGCACGTCGCTCCCCGGCCCGGCCGGGCGGGCGGGGGCTGCGCGCTGCGCGGAGGGGACCGGCGGGGGCCGGGGGACGCGGCGGGAGGCAGGGGGCTGCCGGCGGCCGGGGAAGCGGCGGGAGCGGGGCGTTCCGCGGGAGGAGCGCGGCGGAGACACGCGGGCGCGGCGCGGCCATCCGGAGGGCGGGCGGGCGCTCCGCGGTCGGGGGCGCAGCGCCCCGAGGGGCGCGGAGGGGGCGGAAAGCAGCGTCGGGGTTGCGCGTAGCTGAGGGGTAGTTTGGAAATAAGGGCTCGGTGTGCGTTTGGGATGGTGGTGCGGTTTGAGGTTTGGGGGGGCGGGGGATGCCTCAGTGCGTGCTCGGTGTCGCTTGCGCGGGGCAGCGCGACCGCCCGTGGTGCGAGTCGGGCCCGGAGCGGTGGCCGTGGGGCCGTGGGGCCGCCGCCCGGCGCCGCGCGGGTTCGGAGGCAAGCGCCTGCCCCAGCCCGCCTTCGCCCGGTTCGGCCTTATATTTAATACATGCCCTTTCATCTATAATTCAGGCTGCTCTGACTCCAGCCCTGTCTCGGCTCCCATTTACGCCTGCACACCTTTCTCCTTCCCTTTCCCGAAGGGTCAGCCGGCACATTCGCCAGGGGAGGGAGAGAGCTACTCTGCTGGTTTGGGTTTTGTCTGCTTAAACATTGAACTGGAAAAGATTCCTCCTCTCTGTGGTTTGATAAATAATAAAAGTGATCGTTTCGCCTTCCCCATAAATGACACAGGTAAATTATCCAGCTAGCCACAAAGAAGCATCACATGCCTGGAAGACACTGTAATAAAATGCCAATGTATTATGATATGAGTGACCTCAAAAGTGTGACAAGAAGATGATTATAGTGCATTATCTATAGTGCATTATATGTAGTGCCTTTTTCAACGTTTTCTGAAGCATGAATGAACCTTCATTTGACTGTGCTTTTATTGCTAGCTTTTCTCAGCTTGAACTTACAAGCTGTGTGATAGAACCTATCCAATTTAGTATGCCCTGGTACGTGGCTACGCTGGTTGCTGCTTCTGGTTAAGCCTTTCAAATACATATGCATAGAAAAAAAACAAAGATAACATCAGCATTTGACTTTTTCTGTATGCGGTACTATCTCATTTGCACATTTTCAGTGGATAGCATTGGTGAGCTAAAGATCAGAGTTCTGCCTTGAAGATTTTACATTTTCAGATGCAGGCTCTTACACTTCCACATGTGTCTGCACATAGGCTGCACTGTTAACAAACGGTGGAAGCTGCTTGTACCTCTCAGAGGTCAGTAATTTTCCTGACTTGGAATTGTGTGCTACATACTGATAAGTGTACACATCCTTGCAAGTCATATGGATGCAGACACTGTATGTGAGCATTGCACGTCCTGTAATCCCATGATGCGTAAAGATTAAACGCTCTCAGTTTTGCTGTGCTTTGTAGTTGTGTCCAAAATACTGTTGTTACAGATACACAGGGGGAAAAAAAATTATCCCGGTTTTGGTGACATCAAGGAACATCAGAAAACAGAGCCAGATCTAATAATAGTTTAAGAAAAACGTTCATTGTGTAATACGAGAAGGGTGGCTAGAGCCCCAGCATTGAAAGTCAAGCAAGTGACATGAAGGAGCAACCTTACTGCCAAACCATTTAGGAAAAGAATTCTGTGAATGAATTAAGTATGCAGTTCTTTTGTTTTTTTAAAATACAAAGCAGAACAGCCATTAATAAAGGAGATAATTAGAACTGCTAGCATTCTGTGTAGTGCAGTCTGCTTCTGAAATATGGCATGTTTATGTATGCATTAATAATGCACACATTTTTCCTGACACTAGTCATATCACAGCAGTATGGCATCACAGACGTTTTATAGCCTCATTCTAGTAACATCACAGGCATATAACATTCTTATTCTAATCACACCATAGTCATTTCAATGTCACATTGTAGTCACATCACATAGCCTGGTAATAATTATTTAACTTTATTGCTAAGCTGAATAGTTTTCTGTTTGCTCAGGGATGACTTAAACTTGTAGTCAGAACCAATTAGAACATGTTCGTAAATGAGCTCTTCTCATGTGCACAGGGTTAGACTCATGAAAAGTTAGGAACAGAAAAAAAAACCCTCAGTGAACTAGTGTCTTGGACTTCAACCCAATGCAATCACAAGTCACAACAATAGCATGTTTTTGCTGTTTTCAGAAGTGATTTTAGGAAGCCAACAATGTTTATGTGTAGATCTGTATGTTAATGTTTACATGCTCGCTTTAAAACACTGTAGTTCTTTAACTAATCATACATTATTAACCTCATGGAAGAGGCACATCTTCAAACTGTTGTATTTGCACAACAGATTGTGAAATTGAGGGCTGGAGTACCAAAGGGGTTAGAACTCTCACAACTGCTTCTAAGAATGGTAGAAAACAACAGAAAGGTCTGAATTCCTGAGCAGGAGTTGGAATCACCTGGTGCAGCATTCATGCCACCCCTGCAATGTGAGGAACTGCTCTGAGGCATGTCCTGTGCTCACTTGAGTAGCCATGTTTATCCTCTGTTTACTTCATCAGTCTTATATTTGAGAAAACTGCAGTATTCTATGTCGTGTTCCCCTCAAATGCAGCTATGGTGCAATTATTTGTACCGTTTCTCAATAGTTGCCTTTCTTTACCATTATGGATTAGCCTTTTGTCTATGTATAAGAGCACTAGATTCGTAATCACATCACAAGCTATTAAAATGACTTCTGTATTATAACATACTAACTGTTCATCCACATCATTGCTTGTTATCTTCCCCTCCATATTATTATGTATCAAATTCTTTTCCATATCATATTTGACTCAAATTCTAGCAATACTAG